AAAAAAAAAGGAAGAATGAGGTGGCAGGTACAGGAAAGGGGGAGAGAGGGCTGGATCCTGCACTTGTTCAAGGAGCCAGGCAGAGCTGCTGGTAAACTGAGTGTGCCGATTACAGGAACAGAGAGGTCAGGGATGGCCCCTAGATCCCTGGCCCAAGCCACAGGAAGGATGAGGTCAGTCCCTGGGTCCTGACCAGCCTCTGCAGGGGTGGATGAGGCGGAGAAAGACAACTGAAGTGAGTCTTTCAAAAAAAGTCAGCCGTGAATGGGGACAGATAAAGGGAGAGGTAGTCAGAGGAACATGGAGTTGAAAAAGATCTGTTGGCTGAGCTCCTTTGGTGCTAAGACTCACATAACGTTTACCAACTTCACCATTTCTAAGCACACACTCAGGGCCCTGAGCATGTTTCTGCTGCTCTGCAGCCGTTGCCACCACCCTACAGAACTTTTCATCTTCCCAGTCCATTTGTCCATGTGAGACACTCACTCCCCACCCCCTTCCATCCCACTTGCTGTCTCTGCGGGTCTGATGACTCTGGGGACCTCCGTTAATAGTTTTTCTCACAGAGCACAGTGACAAGTTTGAGATAAGAGACACTAGAGCCAGAATGTTTATTGCAGCCCAATTCATAACTGCTAGGTCATGGAAGAAGCCCAAGTGCCCATCAACCCACAAATGAATCAATAAATTAAAGTATTATGCAGCCCCAAAGAAAGATGGAGACTTTGCCTCCTTCATGCTTACATGGATGGAACTAGAAAATGTTCGTCTTAGCAAAGCATCTCAAGAATGGAAGAAAAAGTATCCAATGTACACAGCCCTATTTTGAAACTAATTTATAGCTTTCATAGGAATGTTATAACCTAATTATAGCCTTAGAATATGGGAAGGGAGGCGGGAGAGGGGAGGGAGGGGGTGGATGGGTGGAGGGAGGGTGATTGGTGGGACCACGCCTATGGTGCATCTTACAAGGGTACAGGAACTAGAAAATGTTCGTCTTAGCAAAGCATCTCAAGAATGGAAGAAAAAGTATCCAATGTACACAGCCCTATTTTGAAACTAATTTATAGCTTTCATAGGAATGTTATAACCTAATTATAGCCTTAGAATATGGGAAGGGAGGCTCGGCACCAGTGGCTCAAGTGGCTAAGGCGCCAGCCACATACACCTAAGGTGGCGGGTTCAAATCCAGCCTGGGCCCACCAAAACAACAATGACAGTTGCAACCAAAAAATAGCCAGGCACTGTGGCAGGCGTCTGTGGTCTCAGCTACTTGGGATGCGGAAGCAGGAGACTCGCTTGAGCCCAGGAGTTGGAGGTTGCTGTGAGCTATGATGCAACCGTACTCTAACCAGGGGGACAGCTTGAGGCTCTGTCTCAAAAAACACCACACTGTACCCCATGACTGCATTAATGTACACAGCTATGATTTAATAAAAAAAGCTTAAAAAAAAAAAAGACAGACACTAGAGCATGTTTTCTGTACCGATGGGCACAACCTGGCAGCAGGCCAGACTGATGAGGAAGGAAGAAGACACACTAAGAGGAGAGGTCCTGAGAGCATCTGAGCAGGAGGATGGCCCAACAACAGGGAACCCTCTCCATGGGGCTGCAGCTAACAATCCCCCAGATGAGTTAGGAAAAGTTGTTTGGGGGGGGGGTAAGAGACTTCTTTTTTTTTTTTTTTGAGACAGGATCTCATTCTGTCACCCTGGTAGACTGCCAAGGCCTCAGCCTAGCTCTCTGCAACCTCAAACTCCTAACCTCAAGGGATCCTCCTGCCTCAGCCTCCCTGAGTGCTGGGATTACAGGCATGAGTCACTGTACCAGGCCAGGACCCTCTTTCAAGTTCTAAGAAACAGATGTATTTCTAGACAAGGGAGCATGCCTGTCAGCAGAGCAGCACCCATGTGGCTCCCAAGAGATGCCATTCTCCTATAACAGTCCTCTGCAGGCAGGTTGGCTGTGGCCTGAACATTAAGTCCAAGCTCAGACACCAAAGGGTCTGGGCCTTCAGGTCTTCTCTGGTCATCACAACTCATCATGTCTCTGCATAGTTGATGGCTTTGTGGACAGGCAATCACACACTCCTGGGGTCTGCCCATTCTGGGAGCAAGCAAGAAGTGACAAGTAAACTCCAAAGAGTGACTTGATAGAGATACAGGTGGTGTCCACACCTCCCCAAAGCACCCCATGCCACATGCGTGCCAGAGCAGGCCCCCTGAGAGAACCCCTGAGCAGCTGACATGTTGGTGTCTGCCAGGCCCAATGCTGGGGTTCCCAACAGGTTCCTAGCCCTAGAGGGCAACATCCCATACCAGTCACAGGGGAAGGACCAGAGTGTGAAGAAGGTATACACTCTGACACTGTACTCAGGGCACAGTTCAACCTCTCAGGGAAACATTCCCTGTGAATCTTCACACAGCCATCGCAGTGACACAGCAGCAGACAATCCTCAAAGGTACCTCAGCAGGGCACATGGGGCCAGCCCCCAAAACACCCAGCAGCACTGGCCTGACCATCACCTGCTGAATAAAACTTCCCAGACCCAACACTATCTGGAACCCCACTGCTACCCTCTGCCACCTGAGTGTATAACAGCAATTATCAAACTGAACCAAAGTGGGGCCTGGTAAATTACTACGGCTTATGAAAGTGCAAGCACAGTTAAGGTACTCAAATTTAATTAAAAGACTGTTCTTTAAAATCATAATGAAATGTTCATAGGTGAAATGACACAACATCTTCCATCTGCTTTAAAAAACTATATACAGGCTCGGCGCCTGTGGCTCAAGC